TTGGTTGCAATCAAGATAAGGTTTGGACACAATGGTAGGTTTGAATTTGTAAAATCCATGGGCTCCTTCTCTAAGGGTCTGAGAAATTGAACCATGACACATTAGTAAGCTTAAAGTCACTTAATTCCTACTCTCCACTGGGAGAATTTTAGAGGTCTGCAAATTAATAATGTTTGAAATCAAACTGCATTAGGTCATTATATAAAATGAGGGACAGAAGGATGATAGAAATACATATTTCAAAACTTTATTTGGAAATCTTAGCCCTTTGTTGGAAATGTAAAAGTRTGCAAGTTAAAACAGTGACCACTGTKTCTTCAGAGTATYGGCAGAACAAGTGGTCCAGCCTGCRCTTTCAAAATGAAACAGAATGTCCAGAGAGGGCCAAAGGCTTGCCTGACACCTAAGGGASGTAGAGGAAGGAAAATAAACGCTGGATACTGTCTGACTGTTARTGTCAGCCTAAACACAAACAGCCTGGATACTGTTGAGATTACTTGTATTTTAGCTGCTGTATAATTAATTCATTTAAGCCCAGAGAAATGCTTTTGTCATTTTAAATCTAAATAAACCCCTTTATCCATTAGGGCAGGATGCAGCATTTTGACTTGTGTGCATTTTATGAAAGCTAGGACATTTAACTGAATCTCCAGGCGGACAGCTTTCCTGCTGCAGTTTACCAGCAAAAGCAGAACTCTTTACCWGGCAGCAGCACTGTCCTGGAAATGCCTTTCCGGCATCACTACGGCAGCTTCTGCTGGGCATRGCATGACTCAGACATCAGCAGTCCCTCTCCTGGCCAAGTGTGTGAACAGCTATTGCTTGAGCACCAGGAGATATTTCCTTTTTTTTTTTCTCCCCTTGATACTTTTCTTGCTTTGTGCCGCAGTAAGGCATATATTCTAACTTCGAGTTTTATGAACGTCCTACTACATTCATCCCTGCATTTTCTTCTTTTACAAAATCATAAAATAACGTTTTGCAAAAGYTTTTCTGTATTTCTGATTCTTAATTCTGCTTAAGGACCTGGAAGTGAGTTGATAGAGGTTGTAAGCTACTCCATTAACTATTCCATAGTAATAACAGCCCAAATTGTAAACTGTTTGTTCTTTGTATTTAACCWTACCTATTTGTCTTCTTTAACTCATCAAAGTTAAAAAGAAGGCTGTAGAATTCATTGGGAAATACACTGCCTTGTGAGACAAGGAAGAGAGGGGGGATTCCTGACCACTGAGACTGGCTKTGACAAATGATCCTTCTGTAGGAAATACACAAATATCCAATCCACCTTTAATATAACAAAACAGTATCCATTCCATCTAGTAAGGAAGCYTTTTCAATGGAGTAAATACTTCTGTGCCTCTTTCACCTTTGTAAAACTGACTTATTTCTACTAAAAAGCATTTTTTGTTTTACATTTTCTTGTTTCAATGACATACAMTTCTATGTCCAGGTATCTCTGAATCTCTGGTTTCTACTTTTAGCCTTAGATATCAAAGTTCCTAAYTGAATTAATGAGATAATTTTCTTTCCTTATTATGGTCTTCTATTAACCTTTCTCATTTCTCTGAGATTTATTATCTATTCTTTGCTCGCCAGTGGCTGGAATACATTTGCCATTTGCTCTTGAGAGTTCTGGGTACAGTAAGAAGGATATGGATTATAATCACATTCATTCTTAAATGACTTTGCTAACATTTTTCTTTCATTTTTTATTTTCCATCCCTTTTGGATGGAAATGAACAATGCATATCTGCTTGATCAAAATCAGGCTTAATCAATCACAGTTTTTTAGTATATATAAATATAAAAAATGGCTCATTCTCTCTTATACAGAAATAATAAATTTGAGGTAGTAGTATTTCAAAGAAATTGCAGTGATGTGGTAGGGCCAGTAATTTTTAATATACAGTGAAATGATAATGAGATGCTGTTTTATTAATTTTTTTATGAATACTTTGACAGTTCTGTAAAAATACTCTCAGAAAATCTCTGTTCTGCAGAAAATCTCCAAACTTGATCTTCACTCATGCATACATTTTCATGAACATTGAGAAACCTCACTTGTTTCTGACTTCTGTGAGTGCATACTTTACTCTTCTGGGATATTCAGAATACATGTTGTTACAAAAATATACAACTGTGATGTCACTGATTCCATATCAAGCCTTAAAGAGAAAATCCTAAACTCATGAAACAAGGGAAAGAACTGTAGTTTGTTCCCTATGACCTTCGGAGGAAGGTAGAGTTTGTCTCAACCAACTAAGACATCTCAAAAAAAAAAAGGTAATTTTGGTATCTAAAAGCTCTAGAGCAGGCATAATATTATATCTTATTCATAACCATAATGAGCTGACATAGTGAGGTTGCTTGGAAAAGGGCAGGTTTCATGTGCAAGGAGTCAGTACACATTATTTGTTAGCAAATATTCTGCARGACAGCTCTGTCCAAAAACTGGATAGTGGTGGTATTTAAATATCTGTGCAATAGATGCTACCAGTGTTCCCAAACTAACATTCAKCAGCAGTGCCTGTAGGCTCTTATGATAAAGTGTGCTCCTCTGTTTTGTACCATATTTATTATAAAATTATTGCTGTAGTTCATTAGATTTTGCGTTTTCTTCTACCATCAAGCAACAGTGCTGAAAAATTCAAGATGTATAGAAGCAAAACACCTCACTCTGCTCCTGACTATAGCTTTCCCAGCTACAGAAAATACATTTGAAGATGATAAAAGAGGGATTTCCAATATTTTCAAAGTTTAATCAAAGAATGAGAAATATATMCCAAAACAAGCAAGCATCAAGAAAAATGATGCTCAAACAGCTGTTTTCCTCCCTTTTTCTTACTAACAGTTGTGTTTTTCTCTCTCACAGTCTCCTATTGCAGCTGTTCCACTTTGCTAGAAATCCTCTACTTTCATGGGTACATCCTCTCCAGACCTGCGGTTACCCATTCCTTTTGTCCTTCAGCAGCAACATCTCTTTTTTGCTTTGGTGTTTCCTAAAGACACCTAATCAGAGCTTCCTATTTCTCTTTGCCCCTCTTTCTTCAGCCCTCACTTTAGCAGACACAAGAAAAAATCTCTTGGCATTCTTCTGCAATACAAGAAATCCTGTCTTCTCCATGGCCCTTTTGGACAGATGTTCCAACTTTCAATTCCTTCTGAAACACCCTGAAACCACTCTGAAACACCCATTTAAAAACCAATCATTATTATTCCTGCAGGACCACATAAGCATCTTATACTGAGGTACTAAAACTTTATTTCTCCTGCAAAAATCTTCCTGGTGTGTGTTAGGAACACAATTGCTTTACTGCGCAACTTCACGTCTTTGTTTCTGATTAATGAACACTGAATTTAGCAAGTGTCAAAGAAGCTGTTTGCAGGCATGGGACTCGCTGACACAGCGGGAGCATCCATCAGACACAACAACCTAAGGGGTACCCAGAATATCTGGACCCTGCACACGTTCCTTTGGCCATCTCCCTGTGTCCATGCCCCTGTTCATAGTGCAGGARTGGTCATTAACTCCCGAGTAGACTTTGAGGATCTTGAGGAATCTTTCCCATCTGTGAACACAATGAAAGTTCTTCCATTCTCTTTTCCAGTTCTTTGTATGCACAGATTTATTTCTGTTCCCCTTGCCTTTGATGTTTCATGCCTTCTGAAAAGAATATAGTCATTCACAAAGCCTTAACTATTCAAGGCCATAAATGCTTCATTTTAAACTGTTACCCTTGAAGTCTTTGAAATCCTCCCCAGTTCAGCATTAATTTTCCTGGGTTACTTGACTTGAGTTAATTAGTTCCCTGTGCTCAYTGCCCACATCTTTGATTTGTTTTAGAGGTTTCCTTACTTGCTCAGAAAAAGATTTCTTCTTTCTGCATGAGAGTGAAATGTAAAAATGGTCTTCAGTATTCTGCAAGATTATTAATTCAGGAAGATGAAAACCATATTGTCATTCTCTATTGGGAAACCTATTATTATATCACCATTAAGTTCTGATTAAATATACATTGTCCTTGTATAAATATATTATGTTAATAGTCCTTCCATGTTCTTATAATACTTCAGGATTATTCCAAAACCAATACATGTAGAAAATTACATTTTTTTTAGTTGATAATGTATTAATTTTCCTCTGCATAGTCCATCAGATAATAGGTACAGGAATGAGATTGTGGAACATATGCAAAACTTTAGATTTTAAGTMAGTTTCATAAATACTGTGCGAAAATCATAAAGTTTTTAGGGGGACTCATCCTGATACATCCAGTATAGAACAAGCTGCAGACAAATCTGGGTTAATGGCACTAAAGCCATAGAGTTACGTACCATCAAGTGTTCATCAAGCAACTTTTGTTGCTCATATTGCCAAATTCCACACTGTTAATAGAATCTGAACTACTTTGAAGCTTCTTCACATTTCTCCCCCAAACACTTGCAGTATACAAATGTTCTTACTCAAACACAGGGATTTGGGTGGAATAGTGTGCTTGTCCCTGCTATTCTTCTGTGAAATATATTGAAAGGACTCACCTTCAAATCAGTCTGAAGTGAAAACCCTTGCAAAGAATTATGGGCCCTGTGGAAGTGAAGAGATTTGGTTGGGGTTTTAACACTACAGCTTGGCTTGCCAGTTGACTGGAATGAAGATGTACATAAAAACTTGAGGAAACACTGTAACAATATGCAACTGATTGCATATGATTAATGTTTTACAAAGTGTATTTTGACAGAGTTGTAGTACAAAACATATAAAGTAATGARAACTGCAAACAAGCAGACTTGTTTAAATAATGTGTTTGAATAGTATTCAGGATCTACCTAAATTTACTCTTTCATTTACAGCCAAATAAAACCATATTGTGTCATTTGAGAAGACTTACATGGCTTTACAAGTACTGTTTATATTTTTTGAGTCTTGTTCTCAATGCTGCTGGTGTGTTAGTGAAATACAAAATTCATTAGCAAAATATTTTTTTCAATTTAGGGGATGGAACATGAAAGACTCATTTTGCATTTAAAATAATGTTCACAAAATTAAATGAAAAGTATTAATACAAATTAGCTTTGAAATAGTAATTTTCCCAGAGTTTTGTTGATGTAACAGAGGAGCAACTTGAAGCGTGAGATATTTTTCTTAAAATTCAACAGGCTGGTAGAAAATGCAGGAAACTGAGAGGAAAATTACCCTGAAAAAGAAAGATGATTGGTAAGACACGTGTATTTAAATTAAAAAAACAACTTTTAATATCTTTGAATAGCTTGATCCATTTGTTTGGGTTTTTTTTAAATAAATTATAAGAATTAATTAGASGAAAGCACTGTGTTTATACTGAAAAATAGACCTGCTGTTGTGCAAAAAAAAAAAAAAATAGTATCCCCAGTTTCCTGAATGTATTCATGAGGGATTGGATTGAGTAATATAAAAGAAAGAAGAAAGATGTTTTCTGCAATACAAACTACTCCAGTGAAAATATGTGAAAGCTACACGTCTGCCAAATTGGGCTGCAGGTAAATTTCTGACAAAAACAGTGCACAAAAAGTATCTTGCATGTTTTCTTCAATTTCTTGAATGCAAGCTTTGTTGGTGTTTTTTGGTAGACTGATCTCTTAGTTAGCTACCTATTTTAATGTAGGCTTTAAGTTCAGTGTAATAGAAAGGTCCTTATACAAACAGAATCTTCTGCCAGTACTTTAAAATTTCTAAAACTAAATAAGACTTCATTCAGCTACATTTTTTTTTTTCCTTGACGAGAAACTGATTGGGAATTGTAACAGCCACCTACACCTTTTTTTACTGTGTAAATAATCCTGTTGGGCAAATACATAATTCAAAAAATACACAGGCGAGGATATGACAATATGAGGTTCCTGGTGAAATGTTGCCTGTGTTAAATGGTAAGCAAAAGAGAGGAGTAGGAATTCCGTGAGTCTAAAGTTGGAAGTTTAAGATGTGTGACTTGGTAAATTGGATTTAAAAAATTTTCTTCCATTGCATCCCAGATCACTGTCCCTCTGCCTCTGGTGTTTGTGACAACAGATTGAGGTGCTTAGGGAGAGCCAGCACTGGGGACGATCTTGCCCCAGCTACCAAGCATGTTTGTGACATCTGGCCATGCCTGCTTTCCAACAGAGTGACAATCTGGGGTTAGCTAAAAGCATCCTTCATCAGATATGGTCCTGCACTCCCCAGACAAGGGAAGGGGCTGTCCCTGTGCCCCCACAGCATCCCTCAGGGCATCCCAAGAAAAAGGGGCTTGTGATGTCCCAGATCAAGCCTCTGAAGCCAGATGGCACAGTCAGAAAATTGTGTGGAGAGAAAAGGGAAACTCAAACAGGGAAGAGGGGACTGTTGCCATGTTCCCAAAGTGTGGCATGCAACTTTGTCCACCCATGCCAAGGACTGGCCAGGCCAAGGTGAGAACCTCTCCAGGTTTTAGATAACAGAGACAATCCGATTGAGCTCAGAGCACAAAGCCAGGTGCCACAGAATTAATTAAAAAGGACATAACAAGCTCTCTCTTCTCAAATAATCTTGGTAATGTTTAATAAACTCTTACTCTGGGCACCCCTTTTAGTGTGGGAAACTTGAACAGCACCATGTGGAGTTTTTGGATAACACAGTGCTTACTTTGAGAGTAGAGAGTAGCATATTATTTTTATTGCAGATGCTCTCTTATGTCTAGCAGTTGCTACCCAGATGCTCACAAATACAATTCTGTGTTGACATAAACTATCTGCCATATGAAATTATTTACACATTCTCACTACATCAGTGAGATATGAGGGCAGCTATTTTTCCTTCAAAATCCCTTTGCACTTACAAGCAGTTTTGACTCAGCTTTGTGGAAATGAATATTAAAATGCAGCCCGGTTTTCTCCCTCTTTGGAGCATGGATGGCTACTGCAGACTCACATATGAAGGAGAAAGCATGTTTTGGATTCCCCTAGTGAGTCATCACTCTTTCATTGGTGATTCATTGCCTGAAAGGAGAGAAAGGTAAAACAGGACTATTTATATGAACTGTCATCCATTTATCTGGTTATTTATTTACTTTAGCCCGGAGCATCCCCAAAGCAATGGAATGCAGCTGTATGACAGTGGCTGAAGGCTGAAGCTTTTTCTCAGGCTCTGGGCTGTACTTGGCACTTGCATGTAGGGAAGTGAGTGCAGATGAGATAGAGACCCTTCATCCACATGAAGATTTCTTTTATGGAAGTATGGAAGAGTAAAGAACAGGTTCATGCTGTTTAGGTGCATGCTAGGAGCACTCATTGGGTAAATCAACCTCCTGCAGCAGGGCAGGCTGAGAACATACCTAACCAGCTCATCAGGACCTGGGGTGGTTCTCATCTGTCCAGCTTGGAAGCTTCCTGATCTCTCTATCTGTTGGTGCAGCAAGGGGCAATTTAGGAAACTGCAATACACAGAGCTGGCACTGAAATCTAGCAGTTTGTTTAGGCAATTGTCTTTACTAAAATTTAAATGTCATCCTGCATAATATGACATCTGCAGTGTGCTGAAAAGCTAAATTCTTCTTTTAAATGCATAAAAAATACTGTAATGGCATTAATTAACCCAGATATATTTATATATAGCTCCATGCTTCTGCAAAATGTGAGCAGACTGTTACAAACTACAGCTACACCCCTAAGCAATTATATGGTTTATATTTTTTTTCCAAAAAACATGGGACATAGCACAACACTTTTCCTCCTAGGCTTCATGGATGAAGAAGTTATGTTTGTGTTAAGTATGGAGCAATGTGATTTTTTTTGTTGTTCTTGTTGAAGCTAGGCAAGACATTTCATGTTACAACTGTCTTTGGATTATTTGTTGTTAGTGATAGAAGAACACCTTTGTGTGTGTTTTCGCTAACATTAGTCAAAGACAGGAGGAATCTCTTTGAAGTCCTGGGAGGCAGAATCATTTTTAAAATGCAAACTTTTTGCCACCCAAGATAATGTAGTCTTGGATCAGCAATAAAAGCTTTCCTGACTAGGAGYAGTTATTGAACAGACTGCTAACTGAATTCTGGCCATTTTTTTGAGCAGCACTGAAATTAGGCCAAAGGATGAAATTTTTAATAAGGAATTTAGAAAAGCATCAATTTAAAATAAATTTAAAATTTAAATGCCTTCTTAGTAGGAGTAAACACCTCATGRTTATTTTCTGCTCAAAACCTGGCACTGCCAGAACTGCCAATTTCAGCAATTTTGAGGCAATCTGAAGGTCTGTATCATACTTCTTGTTCTAGACTTGTGCTTGTTTACAAAAGACAGTACTTTTTGAACCAGTTTATCTGAAAAGTTCATCACTTCTTAATCCCTTTGTCATATTATACTCCATTTAGTTTTCTGCTTGTTTTTACTAATCTTTCATGTTACTGAATCTCCAGAAGAAGAATTTAAGTAATTAACTAAATATGTAAACATAGAAATATCACTGCTCAATTGTGTCWTCTGCCTACAGCCTGCATTATGGTAGGAGAAGAAGATGTGCAGGGGCACATTCTCTAAGAAGTTGTCTGAAGCCCTGAGGATTAGGCAAATACTTGGGTCATTGATAAATTCATGTGTATCAAACATTATTCAGGATGGCCAGTGTTAGCCAGTGACAAGGGGAGATGAGGCTTTTGCAGAAATAAAGATAACCATTGACAACTGAATCCTTATTTTACCAGGCTGTAAAGTCAGCACCTGGCAATTTTGTAGGTAACACAATGTGGCAGGAGTCTCATTTTTCCTTTCTTTGTATTCCTGGAAAATGGGTTGTTSATAACTGGCCCCACATCTGTAAAATTTTCTCTGGATATCAATTTCATTGTAGCAATAGAAAGGAATTTGGTTTTGAGCTTCAAAACAAATTAAAACAAAATATATCTAAAAGTAGTTCCATGTTGTAATGCTCATTTTTAGAAATTAAGTATATTTATATCTCTCTAATAAACTAGTACTACTTGCTCCAAACTGGACACCTGAAACATGAAACATCACAGATTGTTACTTTACATTAAAAAAATCTTTAGAGTCCAAGGGATACTTGAGTGAACAGCTGAAAGATAAACTGTATTTATGCAAATAACACAAAATTAATGATGGAATAATTTAATATATATTTTCGTTTTCAACATTCTGTCTTGCCTTCTCAAGCAAAGGTCTCATCTTGCTGTAAACACATTTTTAGCCATGGCKTTAAAACAGAAAACAGGAATTTGCAGATGAAGAAAACTTGCTTTTATCTCAACTCAGACCAAGAGTGATTAGCCAGGTCTATTTACCTGAGCTCTCCTGTCCCAGCTGGTGAACRTGTTGTATTGACCTCTGTCACTTGTCTTACATTTCTCCTGCCACGGAAGATCTGCTCTAAAAGGATGATGCAAGGTTCACTACTCCTGATAGGCAGCAAGGATCCTCTGCTCACTCGTTTGGTAGATATCTGTGTGTTTGGAGAAAACTAAAAATCCTCATGTGGTATTTAAGGTTCAAATCTGGGAGAAGTATAATCCTGGGAAAGAAGAAACATTCGTCAATATTTAAGGTGGGAAAACTCATTTCAATTTCCTGTTTGCTGAACTTCTCAGTGCACATTGGAAAGTAACTAAAAGCTGATTACACACAGCTGAAATCAAGCTGGCACTGGCCCTTTGCTTTTGCTCCTCAGTCAAGAAGACTGTGAATAGCCAGAGCTTTTGGACAAATACAGTAACTCTTCCCAAACCATAAGTGTCACAGTCAGATTGAAAACTCTCAGAGCTGCTCATACCCTTACAACACTAGGTACTGCATAAAGCTGTATGATTTTTCTTGCTTTCTTATTATATTAGCATCTAGTGTTGGATGGTGTATCTCAAAATAATTTCAACTCTCTGAGAAATCTGTGCTGTAATTTTGCTTAAGGAGGAGGAGTTTTGGACACCTGAGCCTTCTCTTCTAATAGAAATCTGATTTCCATCAACATTCTACAGGGCTCCTGAAAAAAGCCACCTTCTTTCTTTTTTCTCAGGTGAGCAGTCATGTACCTGCATGATGAGACAGTCTAGGGACTGACTAGGTCAAAAACTAATTCACCCCTTCAATGTTTAATTACATCATTACTTASAGAAACAAAATAACATACATGTTTAAAATTACATAGAAATTATGTCTTGGCTACATATCACAAACACTTGAATTTATGTTTAACATAAATAGAATTTTTAAAAGGATAAATAAAAGTCTACCCAAAAAAACCCCTCACATTAAAATATGTTTTATGCCTTTCTAGAGATAAAAACACTTATAAAAAGCACAATTAGTACTAAAAAAATGCACTGCTTATCACATACAAAATTTTCTGATATATCACTTCAATTTTCACACATATGCATCACTTCATTGAACTCCAATGATTACTGTTTATATCCCTACTGCTYAGAGTGCTGCTGGCCTAGATATAAGGTTGGGGATTATTCTCAAGCAGTACAAAGTAAATGCTGATTACCTCAATCTGCCAAATTTTTTTCTGGAAATGTTATACTGTAGAATGTACCCCAGATCAGCATTGTGTGCTAACTTCTGTTTTGCATTACTTGATTATGTCCATGGCAGAAAATGATTATTGCCACCTCCCTAATGGCTACAAATAGGAGGTATTGTTTTTGAGTAATTTATTTTGCTTGAAGGATGGTGTAATTTTGTCATATAGATGATTCTTTTAAGCACAGTTTTAAARGAAGCATTCAATCTAGTGGTTTGCAGTCGGGATAATAACCAGCCTTGGCTTAGCCTCTCCTGCATTTCTATTACCTCTAAACTGTAAGAAGTGCTTATGAAATGTCACATACCTACCCTGCTATTCAATTTGTGCTCACAGAGGAAGTCATTCCAATCTCACAAAAGAATTCTGAAACATCATTTATCAGCCTGTGCAGGGTTTTGAGATCCTTGGCATGGGKGAATAATAGGATTGTGAGGTCCTTTGTTTGTTTTTAAGATTTTTTAAATATCAAAATGGGGATTTAATTCTATTTATATATTGCAGCAAATATAGCACAAAAGAAATAAGACTATTAAAGTAAAATATTTTATTTATACTTTGAAAGTGACAATTTGGAGACCTGCTGCATTTCTATGACTATTTCAAGTCCTATTCAAACCAAGGGCATGAATCCCCACCTTCCAGGGTKCTTGCATCAGGACCTGGGAGAGTCTTACAAACCTGGGTGAAATGTTGGAAGCTGCATATTACTTAGAGCTAATTGAAATTCTATAACGAATGGCAGCATTCAATGCCATACCACAAATAATAACGCAGAAGGTTCCCTGCTGATTGAACACCTGAAGGGGCTCAAGCACACTTTTTCCTAACCAACGAGAGCTAACACATCCAGCGTTTGTGAGCTATTCTTGTATGTAACCAAACAAAACAATAATACCCCAGCAACACAACAGTTTTCTCCCCAAATGCTTTCCAGTTCATCAGCAGCACAGGTTGTAAGTGTGTGGGACTAACAGAAAAAACATTCTCTTTGTTGGTAATTATATTGCCTCTGATTTTTCATGTTGCCATTCTAGTTAGTCCCTGTACTGAGCTTCCCTGAGATTTGGAATGCCCCCTAGGGCTGTCCAACTTGTTTAAAACAGGAATGAGGGGTTATTTTGAAATTTCAGCTCCGAAGCATGAYTTCAGTGCATGAAGCTATGGTGAATCTCAAAGAAGATCACAGATAACAATTGTGATTGGAGCCTAAAACCCAGCACATTTATCTTGAGAAAGTCTATGAGCACAAGCTCATTATTAATACATACCTACCCCATGTGGCCTTTGAAGAATGACAATATGCTATCACAGCAACAAGGAACCACTGTGACTGATTTCCTTAATTCATGTGTTTTTCTGTTTTTTGATGCAATTCACACATGAAAATTAGATTATAGTTTCAGTATTATGATTATTGGAAGTGTGTTTTTAGAAGGAATGCCATGCATACTTGTGGAAAAAAAAAACCCATTCTGCTTTGATTACATAATGTGTTTAATATAAGAATAAATCATGAAGACTTTTCACTTTCAGTGATTCTTTTTTCCCCTCCATTTTGGTATTTGTGAAGTCACTTTTTCTTAGGACAAGTAATTAAGACTAGTTTTCTTGAATGTGAGGGTTGATTCTGCATCTAGCATCAGTTATTAATTTCTAATATGTGGGACTTACAGGCAGATCCAAAGAAGACTTTAGATCGGCCATAGATGCCTAACTGACAACAAACAGAGCACATTTTCGCATCTGGACTGGGAAAGATGAGGGCCTTGTACCTTAGACACAGCCAGGGTTAGATGGCTGCTGAATGAGTGGTTTTAAGATTTGATTTTGCTCCTGTAATCCTTATCTTTGTCATTTTCCACATCTGGGTTGCCATTTGGTTATTCTAAAACAAAGCCATTCAGCTTATTCTCTCTCTCTTCCCAGTCTTATTCCAAGTTATGAAATATCTCAGAGTTGGAAGGAGCAAATTGTCTTGATAGCTCAAGTGTTTTTATTCCTTCTTTTGYTTCTCATCCTCTGCTGTGGCATCATTAAACCATCAAAAGAGAAGGAAAACAAGGACACCTCCAATGGCAAGCTGCAACAATCAGGAAGCAGAAATACCCCAATTCTATAGGTAACTGGAGATTTTTTTTTCCTCATTTTTTCCTACTTTTTTCTTTCTCCTTCCTCATTTTTTCTCCCCRCTTCCCTGCCCCCTTCCATGTCTCTGCATCCTATTTAATATGTTCATTATGGAACTAGTATTGATCCAGAACCGAACTTCATCCGAATAATTTCAGTTAAAACACAATAAGTGGGCCAGTGACATTAAGAGAGGATAATTGAGACGGTGCTTTGGGCAGTTAAGAGATTGAAAGGCAAAGAGATATGTGAAGATTGTTTTTTTTTTTAAAAAAAAAAAAAAAAAAAAAAAAAAAAAGCTGAAATACTATTGCCAGCATTATTTAATTATTTCCGAGTTAACAATGCAAAATGAGGGTACACTAAATATAAACTCTTATCTTTAATTATCAAGCCTGCCCTGTTCTACTTGTGCTGGAAAAACTGAAATCAATGGGACTGAATCCTAGCAGCGATCCAATTACTACCAGGACTGCTTATAGAAAAGGAGGGCAACGTGCTTTAAAAGACAATACAACAGAAAGTAATACAATTTGAGRGGGAAAAAAGCAAAAAGAACCCCGAGGTTTGTTTCCTTGTCTGCCTGCATCCTCAGCTCGTTTTAAATGATAGACTTTTCTTTTCCCTGCATTCCAATTAGACTGTGCCAATGGGCAAGTGGGGAAGGGAATGTTAATGAGGCAGCCGRGGAGCGGGGTGGGAGCCGGGGCTGGCGGCTCCCCGCGCCCGCCGCAGTCCAGGGCAGAGCGGCGCGGGTGCCGGGCTGTGCCCTGGCAAACACTCACTCGACCACGGGCGATTGRGAGCCAGAGGAGGGAGAGCCACGGAAAATGTGTTGTACCGTTCCGGGGAGCGCTTTTCGCCCCGTTCCTCGTTCTCGCACCGGCGACGCCGCCGTGCCTGTCCCCCCGCGCGGCCGCGAAGCCGCCCCGGGCCGGT